AATAATGGCTTTGTATCTAAAAAAATGAAGAAACTTCATTTTAAATGGGCGATTGTGGCTAAGTGGATAGCAGGACCGTCCTTCAATCAGAGGGTCGGTGGTTCGATCCCCGGCTCTGGCTCTGCTCGTCGCATGTCGATGTGTCCTTGAGCAAGACACTTAACCCCAAAATGTCTCCCGTAGCTGTGCCTACTGTAGAAATGTGATAGAATCTGAATTGTAAGTCGCTTTGGATAAAAGCGTCTGCTAAATGACTGTAATGTAATGTAAATACTAGCTCATTATTTTGAGAACGTTTCTCATTCTTTATATTTAATATATATTTTTGACTTTATTTATTTACATTACTCTTACTGCTACTGCATTTTGCAATGGTGTCAGTATTGTTTCCTTTGCACGTAATGATTGTTATTCTATTGTTCACATATGTTCATATTTTTATTCTATTATTCTTCTGTCGTAATATTTAATGAAACTCTGACACAAGAATTTCCTTCAGGATTAAAATGTATTTTTCTCGTCATATTGGCAGCAATGTGCTTCCGTACATTTTACGGTGATTTGAAGTGTAAATAAAATCTTCTTCGCCGTTTATAAACTGAACTCATCTCTGAACTCATCCCGTTTGTCTCCGACAGCCAATGAGAAGCTGCAGCCGGAGCAGCGCCACCCTCTGCCGTCGTACCGCGACTACGTCAGCAACTCCTCCGTCAGAGCGTATCAGAGCGACTACTTCTCCAGCCGCTGCCCGCAGGACGCCGACACGTCCGCCGGACAGGTGAGCGCCGGCAACCATCACATTACTGTGTGCAATGATCGATGATCGATGATCGATGATCGATGATCAGGTGGTGGAGGTGAACCTCGGGGCCGGGGGGGATCGGCTGGGCGGGGCCTGTGACCGGTACCATGATGACGACGACCTATACCTGAGCGACAGCTACGGAGGCTTCTGTGACGGACCGCTGAAACCCAAAACCTCCTACAGGTACCACACACACACACACACACACACACACACACTTACACACACACACACACACACACACACAGCATGTAGCTACTGGAGTGTGTATTTACTGTGTGTGTGTGTGTGTGTGTGTGTGTGTGTGTGTGTGTGTGTGTTCAGGCTGAGTGTGAGAGCTTTCACCAGACTGTTTGATGAAAACCACCGAGAGTTTCCTCAGCCGCTCTTCACGGACACTTACCTGTCCTCACCAATCAGGACACACTCAGGTGAGTAGCACACACACACTCTCTCTCTCTCTCCGTGCATGTGTGTGAGGGTTCTCTTGTGTTGTTGTGTGTCAGAGCCGTTAGGCGGCGTCGTGGAGGGTCTGAGTGCCGGCATGTTCCTGATCGGGATGATGGTGGCCGTCGTCTCTCTGCTGGTTTACAGACAGCGGCTACGCAAAGTGTGAGTGCACACGTGCACACACACACACACACACACACACACATTCATACTGCTTACCCGCGTTGACACAAACGATCATTCTAAACTTCATCTTAAAACCAGGTGTCATTGTTTTGGGTAATTTGTTTTCTGGGGCAAAAAGCTCCAACAAATAATTATCTTTATCAACTGATTTGTTTGTATTTTAGTTTGACTGTTTAATATTTGTTTGTTTGTTTAAATTGGAAAATAGTGAAAAATAAAACCATCGTTTTGTCGGATTGACATTCTCAATAAATGAACAAATAAATAAATATAATCAATTTAAAATCAAGAAAACAAGCAAACGCTTTCAAAAGTGACGAACCGGAGTCACTCAAATAGAAATATGTCATAAAGTAGTTCCTGTTCCTCTTCACAACAAATGCAGTACAATCTAATGTGTGTGTGTGTGTGTGTGTGTGTGTGTGTGCAGGGCCGTCCAGGAGAACCCGGTGGTGAGGATGAGTATATGGAAAGAAGCTCCATCTTCAGGATTGTATCTCGGCGTGAGGAGGTGAGACTTCTATTCTCCTCCTACGTTCAGTGTGTGAGAGTGTGAAGTATTCCAATAAAGTACTCAAAGATTACCTCATCGCTCACCCACCACAGTACACAGCGTCTGTTATTTACTGAGTGAGTGTGAGTGCGTGTGTGTGTGTGTGTGTGTGTGTGTGTGTTCAACACAACTCGTTAAGTCTTTTAAAAGTTATGACTGTTGGAGATTAAAGATGTTGTTTAAACACGACTTCATGATCAATAAAATGAACTCTTTTATGTTTGAAAATAATCACAAGTATAATATTTAATATACAATAAAAAATATATAATTTAAGAACGAAAAAACATTATAAATTACAAATAAAAAGTTGCAAAAGAACAGGTTTGTTAAATACCAATCTATTGTTATGTTTAGATATTAATAACCGTTATTATAATAAAGCAGCTGTTGTAAACTGAAGGACTGTAATAATAACATGTAATATTAATCTACCGCTCAGAATTCTTCTCTCATAACTGAATAATAACTTAAACATAAAGTGCTTGTTTCTTCTGCAGCAATCGTCGGGTCACCAGGTGAGAATCCTTTCATCACAACAGATGATGTCATAATTATTCATGTGGCAGAAATATCTAAATATACATAATACTGAGTATTTCTGTGAGTAAATACCTTGAATGTGTTTCTCTGTTCAGTCCGATCAAAGCCGTTCACTTTGAGTCTCATCTGAACAAACTAACGGCCGACTCCAACTACCTGCTGTCTGACGAGTTCGAGGTAAAACCTCTACATTTACTGTGAAATAACACTGTAGTGAAGTAAAAGTACAACATGTACCTCGGAGATGTAGAGGACGAGAAGTAGAAAGTACTCACGTAAAGTACAAGTACTTTGAATATATGTATTTATATATTCAATAACAGATGTTTTGTTTTTAGGATCTGAAGGATGTTGGAAGAAACCAAACGATGGACGTTGCTCGACTGCCGGAGAACCGAGGAAAGAACCGCTACAACAACATCCTGCCATGTTAGTATGTGTGTGTGTGTGTGTGTGTGTGTGTGTGTGTGTGTGTGTGTGTGTGTGAGTGTGAGTGTGTGTGCGTGTGTCTGTGTGTGTGTGAGTGTGTGAGTGTGTGTGTGTGTGAGTGTGAGTGTGTGTGCGTGTGTGCGTGTGTCTGTGTGAGTGTGTGAGTGTGCGTGTGTCTGTGTGTGTGTTTGTCTGTGTGTGTGTGCGTGTGTCTGTGTGTGTGTCTGTGTGTGTGTGTGCGTGTGTCTGTGTGTGTCTGTGTGTGTGAGTGTGTGTGCGTGTGTGTGTGTGAGTGTGAGTGTGTGTGCGTGTGTGTGTGTGTTTGTCTGTGTGTGTGTGTGTGTGTGCGTGTGTG